TCTTTTTTTTTTCTCTTAAATCCAGGTAAAGAAAATTAAATCTATCTTTATTCAATTTCACTTTATTAACTTCAGCTTAGTATTTCTTTCAAGCCTAGTGTTCTTTCAAGATCTTTTTGGATGATAATCATGTCATTGAACATATTAGCTAGCCCTTCTAGCTTTAATCAGCAAAGCTGAAACATGTGCTATTACAAAAAAGGACTTTATCTAGGCCATGCCATGGGAAAAAAAAAATTGTTGAACTCACCAGATCCCACTCCACTAGTCTCTACAAGGTCTCCACTATGACCCTATTCCTGCAATGCGCTAATTATAACACTCTTTGGATCTTGCTGTTCAACTAGCTCAGAAAGCACTTAACTCTATTTTCCAAGCTCATTTTAGAATGATTTGCTTAAGTCCATATCACATCTATGACATTTCCTGTTCTTTTGTTGTTTTTCGGTTGTTTCAGTCCTGTCTGACACTTCATGACCCCATTTAGGGTTTTCTTGGTAAAGATACTGGAGTGATTTGCCGTTTCCTTCTCCAGCTCATTTTACAGATGAGGAAACTGAGGCAAACAGGGTTAAGTGACTTGCCCACATTCACACAGCTAGTGTCTGTGACTGGCTTTGAACCCAGGTCCTCTTGACTCCAGGGCTGTCCTCTATCCACTGAATCACCAAGCTGCCCATTCCCTGTTCTACCTGTCTGTTAACCCTATCAAGAATGTAAGCTCCTGGGGCAGCTAGGTGGCACAGTGGATAGAGCACTGGCCCTAAAATCAGGAGGACCTGAGTTCAAATCTGACCTCAGACCAAACACAACACTAGCTGTGTGATCCTGGGCAAGTCACTTAACCCCAAGTGCTTAACCAAAAAAAAAAAAAAAAGATTGTAAACTCCTTGAGGACAGAGAGGCTTTCATTTTTGTCTTTGTATCACCAGCACAGTTCCTTGAACACAGCTGTTACTTAATGAAATGCTTGTTGATTAATTGATAAAGGAAATGAGGTTAGACATAAATTGTTATTGAAAAACTCACCGGCTCTTGGTGTTTACTGCTTCCCTTTCTAGGTGGCACAATGAATAGAATGCTAGATCTAGAGGCAAGAAAACTTGAGTTCAAATCCAACAGCAGCCACTTACTAGCCCTGGGCAAGTCACTTAACCTGTCTCAGCCTCAGTTTCCTCGACTGTAAAATGGGATAATAATAGCATCTAACTTGTAGAATAGTTGTAAGGACCAAATATTTGCAGAGCGCCTAGCTATTGCCATGAACAGACATTGAACGAATTTACCTACAGTTTAATATACTCCATCCTTTGCCCTTTTGAAAACCAGGACATTCACCTGTCTCTAGACCTTTGTTATCTGCTTTAGTCTACATATTATAGCCATCACACATTCAAACTTAGTTGGTACCTTGGAATGTAATTGATCTGGGATTGATGGCTTAAACTCATGCAATTCAAATTTCTCTTGCTATCTCTTCATTTATCTGGATTTTCAATTTCCTCTTAACTTTTTTTCCTTCCCCATTCTTTAGTTTGAGAATCATTCTTCTTTACAGAGGGCAGGTAGGTGGCACAGTTGATAGAGTGCTGAGCCTGGAGTCAGGCCCATCTTTCTGAGTTTAAATCTGGCCTCAGACACTTATTAGCTGTGTGACTCTGGGCAAGTCACTTAACTCTGTTTGCCTCAGTTTCCTCATCTGTAAAATGAGCTGAAGAAGGGAATGGCAAACCACTCCAACGTCTTTGCCGAGAAAACTCCAAATGGGGTCACAAAGAGTCAGAAATGACTAAACAACAACTTCTTTATAAAGAAAGAAGCAGACGTTTAATTCTGTTTTTTTTTTTTGTTCATCTGTTTCAATCTTCCTTTTTACCTCAGATCATTGGCCTATTTCTTTCTCGTTTCTTCTTTCCCATCTCCAACTTACACATTTTCTGAATGCCTTTTTTGTTAGCCCTTAGCATTTTTTGATAGCCTTAGCTCACAAATGGGCTTTAGTTTTCTGGACACTATTCCTACAAGCAAGCCTACAACATTTTCATATTCATCCTTGGATATGTGCCCTCCCTTCCATCTTTTGAACATGACCCTTTAAAATCTGGCCTCAGCTGAGAGCTCCCCATACATCCACATTAATAAGGCCTCCTCTTTCTAAAAGCATAAAGCACTTAGAAAGTACTTTATAATCATCCTGATTACTCAATTCCCCTCATGAAGTAGGTCACCACAGCTTACTCAATATGAGACAGATGAGGAAAGCACTGAGGGTCACCATCCAGCAAATGCATGGCTAAGGAGAAGTACAGGTCAGAGACTGGATCCAATGCTAGCTGCTTTTTCCAATATTCAAGTGCTAGTAAAAGGGGGTGGGGAGAGAGGGGAAGAATAGCTGAAGAGTTATTCCAATTTCCATTTTCTTTGATAGAATCCTTTGAAAAAACTCTTCAAGGTGAGATGCCATGACTGCTCAGTGCACTTAGGATGGGGAGCCACAGGCCAGGTTGGCAGGAGCTGCAGATGTAAATTAAAGGAGATGCTAGACACTTACTTGATGTCACAGAGACTGCACTGGTATTTTGAGAGAGATCTGTACTGCCTCAAAATAATACTGCATATAGCATCATCTCCTAATAGAAAACAGTAATGATAAGATACAAACTAAGCTAAAGAAAAACCATGTACCACATTCACACTTGTCTAAAGCATGCATGAGAAGGTGAACCCACCTAGCAGTGATTCAAACGTGATGTGACCTTAGCAACTGGAGTCCAATTCCATGACATCAGGTCTTTGAATCAATGGGTACTGTACACAGGGGTGCACATTTCAAAGGTGAGAATGGGGAGGATCATTAAAACCGCATGCAGTACTCTAGCTGCTCAGAAATCTGAAGTCAGTTCTCTACACACTACTGAATGTTTCTAAGAAACCCAGCTGCAGGCAAAACTGGCCTAAGTAAGCATTATTAAGCACTTGATTTCTCCGAGTTACTCAAATACTCTCGTGGTCAGTAGAATCATCCTGGCCAATGGCTGGCGACCACAGTAGTACACTGAGGCAGTCATGCTATAACATAGGCATTTTGGGCACTCTGTGCCTTCATGTTCAGTATTCAGTTCACTAAATTCTCAGGTCTTTTTTTTTTTCTTCCTTTCACATAAACTGCTTCCTAGCCATATCCTCCCTCACACTGAACTTATTCAACTAATTTCTTCAACCCTAGTATTGGACTTTATCTTTGTCCCTGTTAAATTTTATCTTCTGGGCGATCTTTGGTTTACTAACTGTTCTAGCCTGTTAAGACTCTGTTAAGACTTGGTTCTGTTATTGAATGTATTAACTATCATCTTCCAATTTGAGAAGTATGACTTTTGTAGCAGTCACAAGTGGGACACTCAGGTGGCTGCTGCTACTTTAGATCCTCCACTACCTTCTCCAATTGCTAGGCAAGATCCTAGGCTTCTCGGAAGTAGGTAGAAGGGGTTTTGAAGCTGGAAGGGACTTTAGTGAACCTCTAGTTTAACTCACTTATTTATAGTTAATGAAACAGACTCAGAGAGGCCCAGATTAAATGACTTTTCTAAAATCTTACAGGTAGTAAAAGAAACAGAGTCAAGATTTGAACCCAGGAGCTCTGACTCCATATTCTGGCCTTTTTCCATTACATAACACGGTGATATCACTATATACCTTGAAACCATTAATATACTAAGCTACGAGGCCAGGGACCACCAAGCTATAGTGATTCTTACCCAAACTTAGTCTGGTACATGAACTAAAAGGAAAAGGCTTTAGGTACCAGCGTTCAATTTTTCCAGTAGCCTGAAGGGTTAATGCACTTTCCCCAACCTCCCAATTCAGGCTCAGGAAAGGATCTAGACAACAGGAAGGATGAAGTCCGGTACTGATACCTAGAAATTATTAGCAACTTCAGAATAGGGCATGTTCTACCTTTTACATTGACAATAACTTGATATTCTGCTAATAGGAGGAATCACGGACGCAAGTGTTTCTGGACAATGGAAAAATGGTTTTCTCAGGTTAAAAAAAAAGTGTGTATCTTAGGGCTTTGCATAATCATTTGTGAAGCATTCCCCCAAAGAGTCACACCTCATTATAGTATCAGGTATTTCTTATTTTGAGCTTATTTAAGGCAGACCTGCTTAATTTTACTTTGTAATCTCAGGAGCTAGGGGGGAAAAAAAAGAATTATTCATGAGGATTCAAATACAATAAAGGTAGTCAGCCTTAGGGCACAAATAAATTCAAACTGTAATACATGAAGAGATTGCTCTGATCCCAATGGCAGGGTGTTCCTGGCTGGCTATATATACACATACATATTCCCATGGAGATCGTCCTTTTCAAAGGAAAGGCTTTGGAAATGTTCCTTAATAAACAGACATATATACATATAGATTATAATACACAGACACAATTCTGAGACTAATGCTATTTGTCCTCTCTTTCCTTGGCTCAGGATGTACTCTACTAACCAAATGAAGTAGAAATAGCTATAGCTCATCCTGGGTATTGTATCTACGCCCAGGGTTTTGATGGAAATGTTTATGTATAATGATGAATTAGAAGCTAACATAACTCTCTCTCTCAGAAAAAGTACATTTTTTCAATATGTCAACCCAAACTGATTAGGTTATTTTCCTGATTGTCTCTGCCCCTCCCCCCCCCAAAAGAGTATCTGGTTTGTAGATTAAATTGATCTGTACTTATAGTTATCCCAGCCACTACTGAAAACCAGAACATTTACCACTTAACAGAAGCTATGTTTTTATTCCTTTATTAAATGGACTGCTTTTTAGTCCTGCATTGCCTAAGGACACTGATTTCAGGTGAAAAACATCTTTAAAAATTCTTTTTGGATGTGCTTTCTGAATTGATGACATTTTCTGGGTTGCTCTCTCTCTTCTCTCTTTCTTTCTCCCCCCCCTTTCCCCCCCCCTTTTTTCCCCCCCCCCCCTTATCCCCATGTGGATTTATCTTCATGAAAATAAATTAATTCACATCCTTTGCTTTTGAAAAGAACACTCTTAGTTCCAAAGTCAATGTCAGTCTTGGTCATAAACACGAGTAGAGAAGATGTGACCCATGGATCAGGGCGTATCCAAAGGCAATGGCTTGTCCTCAGATGGAAGGATATATTCATGATATTCATGAAACTATTTCTATTCCAGCCTTGCAAAAAGTCTAATTTCCTAGCCTACATTTCACTTGAGACAGGCTGCCCTCCCCTCAAGCATCAGCATCTCTATTACAAAAGGAATTTAAGGGAAAAAAATCCACATTTGTTCCTACTGGCCCATAAGAAATAGTATCTGGATGACTTCCCAGGTGTGCTATTCCAAGCATTTATCACTTCAAAGTTTTTGGTAAACTCTGGCCCAAGATTAGAGTCGTTTCTTTGACCTCCCTTTTACTGCACATTTCCCCCACTCATAACTTGATGATAAAATCACTCTCAAGTTTCATAGATCCTGTGCCATGACTAACTAGCAGTTTCATTAAGTGGGTTATTAACTTGTCAAAGCAGTGATTTTTTTTAAAATCAGCTATGAATCACCCTATTTTATAATCTGGGGCATGTCACTCCAGGCTTGAGACTTCTTTTTGGCAAGTTCCATCCAGGATGGCTGATCTGCACTGGAATAACTGGCCCTCTTTAGCTGGTTGAGTTCTTTCTCAGTCATCACCTGAGACTGAGCTGCTGGAAAAGAAAAAAAAAAAATACTTGAGTGGGGAGCTTGCCAATCCATTGCAAACCATTTCTTTTGCTTTAACAAGGTCCAAGGAGGTCCTTACAAGGACACGTATTCCTTCAGATAAATTTTATTTCTATCAAGCAATAATTGTGAAGAGCATCAAACAGATCACATAAACAATTTATTTTGTTTGGGGACATGGGGGGAGCACGTGTGAATGCCTGAATGCATATCAGATGACAGAAGTGCTTGAAATAAAATTGCAAGAATAGCCCCCAGCCCTTTCTCATAATATTAGGGAGATTTTTCATACCCAGGTTCTGATGGGAAAGTGAAATGCCTCGATGAAGTCCTTCTTTGAGGTGCAGCTTTGCTCTTGGCTTCTGTTCTTTAGCAGTTTTAGCTGGCTGCACCAGGAAAGATTTGCTACGGACAAAGTCAGCTTGTTGCTTAATGCGCTCCTATGGAGAGATTACAGAAGGGACAAATCCTAATAATGTCACTTGTGATCCAGAATTGGGGCAACTCAACATATATGCACATATGGACTCATATACCAGGACCCTGTGATTTCCTCTTCATGGAGGACTCCTATTTGCAGGAACCCTTTCTACCTTACATGAATGGCAATCCATCTATTTCTTCAGAGATAAATTTCAGGGCTCTGCCTCAGGCATAGAAAGGTTAAATAATTTTCCTGTCTGTCTCTTTCTCTCTTCTCCACTTCCCCCCCTTCCCCCTGCCCCACCACCATCCAAGCAAATCTGACAGGATCACTGTAGAAAACATGCCGTTCCCCTCCTCAGGATAAAATAAGCCTTCTATACTTTTCCCTAGATAGCTGCTATTGAAAAGTCAGCTCTTCAGACCTCAGAGATCACTTATCTAATCCAATCCCCTTCATTTTAGAGGGGAAAGTGACTTTCCCAAGGTCACACAGCCAGTGAGGGGTGACAAAGTCATCTTGTTCTGACTGTTCTTCCATTCCACTGACCTACAGAACTTAATGTTTAGGTTAATGATTTACACCTTTTTCGCGACATTCTATCACTATTCATTAACTTTTTTGCCACGTCATGCCCCACTCCAGTGGCAAATATTTCATTTTAAAATTAGAATTTTTAGAAGAAATACATGATACTTAGTATCACAGATTTCTAGCAGGAAAAGATTTTAGAGGTCATGTAATCCATCTCCCTCATTTTAAAGATGGGAAACTGAAGCCTCAAGTAGGTTAAGTGATTTATCCAAGGTAACACAGGTGATAAGGGACGGAATACAGGAGATTCTGATCTCAAATCCTGCTCGTTTTCTACCACACCCTACTGAATGGACAACTGGCTACAACCCCAGCTATTGCAAAAGTAGGCTATGATATCACAGATGTGTTACCCTTAACCTAGCTTAGCCCTCCATCGTCTTACCTCCCTACGGCCTCAGGCCACTTCTCACCTTTAATCCTATCTAGAATCCTTTCTCCTTTGGCCATGTGGTCAGGTCCCTGGCATTGTGTTCACCCCAACCTACTGGCCACTTCCATCAAGATCCTCCCTAGATCCCTCCCATAGTCTTTCTGTATTTAAGGTCCATCTAGTCTCCATTAAGGTGCTCAGATTCTTTAAGAATCTAGCCAAGGTGTCAGATTCTCGTAATCTAGCCAATAGCTCACAAATGTTCAGGTTCCTTGAGAGTCTGGCCAATATGGCAGATCTTTAATAAACCTTGTTGTCTTTGGCTGAAAAAAAAGTCACAGATGTTTGTCTATATAATCTACATGTTTATTTTTGAAACACCCTGATAATTGTGCCCCTGGGTTGCATGCAACTTCTCAATCTGAGATTTTAAGTGGAAATATAGAACCAGGTCCTGCTAAATCTGTCAACCTCATCATTAACACACAATTTCAAATACTTCTTATCTCAATGTGTCAGCCCAGAAACGAATTTGAGACTATTAGGGGAAAATCAGCCCTTACCAACCCAGCTGCTTGGGTTGGAAAGAACAGCTTCCATTCCGGAATGCACAGATGAACCTCTAATTCCTAAGCCAGGAGCCACGTGTGAGGAGTAATCAGCAGCCAATCAGAAGCTCTTCTCAGCGGAGGCCCCAGCATGAAGCCTGTGCCACCAGAAGCATTCAGGTCTCATTTATCACCGTTCAAGAAGCCAGAATGGAGCTGTTGACATTGTCACCAGGCATCAAACTGAGAAGTTATTTTTAACCTTGTTTCATTTCTCCAGATGCCAAGCATCGTTGCCTAGGCAACAGGGAGACGGTGAGAGATTTGACTCCCTTTTGCCTAAGTAATCACTCTCAGATCTCTGACTCATCGAGAGAAAGGGTGCAGGTTTGTGGGTTTCCCCCCAAATGTAACATAGTTACAAATCATGCATTCAGCACATAACTTTCCCACAGAGCCACTGGGCTGTTTTTTTTTTTTTATTCAAAATGGTTACTAAAATTTGGTAACTTGATTGCCAAATTGTGATTTCAGAGCCCATCTCCCACTGAGTCAGTGGATTGAGTTTTGTTTTGTTTTTAATCAAAATGGGTGCTATAATTTGGCAACTTGGTCACTATATTATGCTTTCAGTGCCTGCGAATCACTGAGCACCTATCATTTCAGGCATCAGAAGTGACCAAACCTATATGCCTTTACTGTGGTAAAATACTTCTGGTATACACATTGTTTTTCTATAGTAACAAAAGAAAAGGATAAAAGTTATATTTCTAAGTACCTCTTTTCTGTCCAGGTCTCCACTCGGCCTTTCTGTGTCTGACTTTGGGGCTGGTGTTTCAGGCTTTTCCTCCTTGCTCATCTGCTGTTGTTCTCGGGAGCCCCTACGCTTCTGCCTGGCTAGAGTAATCCAGGGCGGCAGTGAGTGGCCCTCTGAGGCTCCAGTGGCCGATGCTGGGGATGGCATGTTTTTCTCTGTGGGCAGATTCATGAGGTTATTTGATAGAAGTCCTCTACCCTTTTTGATTTGACCTTCTGTAGTGAGCTGCACTGCTCTATCCACACCCTCTATATCATTACACATATTGCTTTGGGAAGATTTGAGAGACTTTGGGGTGAGACCCTTATGAACTTATTTTAGGTAGCTTTTTGTTTTATTCTAAGATGCAAAGGTATCAAAGACATCAAGTTCAATGAAGATATCAAGCTAGCCTATTTGGAATGGTGAGAGAGAGAGAGAGAGAGAGAGAGAGAGAGAGAGAGAGAGAGAGAGAGAGAGAGTTATGTGACTACCTCTAGGATCAGCACAAAAGAAATGTGACTATCTCTATGATCAGCACCAAATTTTAAATATACTGTCTGGCATTTTTTGGGTTTTTTTCTTTTTGGCTTAGATCTGTGATTTTCTCAGGAAGGAAGGATGCAAGAGAGAGAGGAAGGAAAAAAGAAAGGAAGAAAAAGGCAGAAAGGAGGGAAAGAGGAAACAAGCATTCCCTTTACAAATAGTATGTCATTTGAGCCTCACAACAACCCCGGGAAGTAAGTACTATTATTATCCTCATTTTACAGTTGAGGAAACATAATGGTTACGTGACTTTCTCAGGGTCACATAGTAAATTCCTGGGGTTTGAACTTAGGTGTTCTGACTCTGGCTCAGAATTCTATCCACAAAAACTCCCTTTACTGACACAGATTGGGAACTTGTCAGTAACTTACAGTCTTAGAAGATTGTCTAGGGTCAATGAAAGTTTGAGTGACTTGTCCATGGTCACACAGTAATTCTCAGGTTTTGAGCCCAGGTCTTCTTGACTTCAAAGTGTCTTTTGATCCACTGCACCAGGGGTGGGGAACCTGTGGCCTTAAAGCCACATGTGGCCCTCTAGGTCCTCAAGTGTGCCCCTTTGACTGAATCCAAAGTTCACAGAACAAATCCCCTTAATAAAAGGATTTGTTTTGTAAAACTTGGACTCAGTCAAAAGGCCACACCCAAGGACCTACAAGGCCACATGTGGCCTCAAGGCTGCAGGTTCCTCATCCCTGCTGATTACACCATGCTGTTTTTCCCAAGACAGTAAATCTTTATCAAACACTTGACATTTTTTGCTCAGAGTTGCTTTTTAGCATTTAACAGACCATTCATTAAACAAGTATTTTAAGAACCTACAACATCTAAGGTACACGCTCAGTTCCTTTTGCTTTTAAAATTAATAAGCATAGTATACCTTTTAAGAAAAGAGAGTTTCTTAATGACAACATTGACATATTTAGTTTGCTTAACTAAGAAGCAAGGAAACAATAGCTTGAAAAAATAACCTGTGACTTGAAACCAGGGCTTTGTGGACCATATATCTGCTTTAACATGTTGCTGTTCAGTCATTTTTCAGTTGTGTCCAACTCTTCGTGATCCCATTTGAGGTTTCCTTGGCAGAGATAGTGGAGAGGTTTGCCATTTCCTTCTCCAGCTCATTTCACAGATGAGGAAACTGAGGCAAACAGGGTTGAATGACCTGCCCAGGGTCACATAGCTAATAAATGTCTGAGGCCAGATTTGAACTCAGATCTTCCTGATTCCAGGCCCAGCACTCTATCTACTATTTACCTAGCTGCCCTGTCAAATCAGGACTTAAGAAAAATTATTTCAGCAGCAGTGTGGAGGATGAACCAGAGTGGGGAGAGATTTGAAGCAGGGAGACCAAGTAAGCCTTTGCAATAATCTAGGAGAGAGGTGATGAAGGCCAAGATAAAGGTAATACTTGGTAGCTTGTATTGTTCCTTCTTTATGACATTCATATTTTGATTATTCCATAGAGAAGGCAACACAGAAACTGAAGGAGAAGAGGCATTGGTCTTAGGAAGGAAGAAAACAAGAAAACCATGCCAATATCTTTGCCAAGGAAACCCCAAAATGGGGTCACAAAGAGTTGAACGTGACTGAAAAAATAAGTCAACAACAACAACGTATAGAGATACTAGGTGCCCTAGTGAAAGAAGATCTCTGGATAGATTTTTGACCTAATATATGTAAAGTATTTAGCATAGCGCCTGACACATACTTGTTCAGTCATTTCAGTCATGTACAACTCTTGGGGTTTTCTTGGCAAAAAAACTGGAGCAGTTTGCCATTTCCTTCTCCAGCTCATTTTGCAGATGAGGAAACTGAGGCAAACAAGGTTGAGGGACTTGCTGAGGGTCACATAGCTGGTAAGTTTCTGAGGCCAGATTTGAACTCAGGAAAATAAGTCTTACTGACTTCAGGCTTAGTACTCTATCCACTGCCAAAACAGATTCATTGACCCTAGGTTAAGAACTCCCATTGTGATTGTTCAATTGTTTCAGTCATGTCCAACTCTTCATGACCCCATTTGGGGTTTTCTTGACAAAGATATTGCAGTGATTTGTCATTTCCTTCTCCAGTTGATTTTACAGATAATGAACCAGGTTCAAATCCTATTTGTGACACTTACTACCTGTGAGACCTTAGGCAAGCAATTTAATCTCTTTGGGCCTTGGTTTGGGCCTCATTTGTAAAATGAAGGGGTTGGGTTACATGACCTTTGAGGTACCTTCCAGTTCCAGATCTATAATCCTATCATTCACTTAAGCTTTTTGGACCTCAGTTTCCTCATCTGTAAAACAAAGGGGTTATAGTAAATTATCTTTAAGGTTTCTTCCATCTGTGGCATCTTTAGTACAGGGAACTAACGATGAGGGAAAGATGTAAATTGGTAGCTGCCCTACAACTTGTGGTTGTTCAGCACTTAAGGCATGAAAAAGTTCAGTGACTTACTTGTGCAGATGGCACAGTATATGTCAGAAATGAGATTTGAACTCAGATCTTCTTGACACGAAGGCAACACTGCCTCTCATCAACATGAGTAAGTTTATAAGAACCTCTCCTGAGGGCAGGGGAAAGGAGAGAAGAGCATTAGGAGTGTGATGGGTTAAAGAGAGGAAAAGGAGGGGAGCAGCTAGGTGGCGCAGTGGATAGAGCACCGGCTCTGGATTCAGGAGGACCCGAGTTCAAATCTGGCCTCAGACATATAACACTTACTAGCTGTGTGACCCTGGGCAAGTCACTTAACCCCATTGCCTAACCAAAAAAAAAAAAAAAAAAAAAAGAGGAAATGGGAGCCTGAGAGTACCAGGTATCAACCATTCATCTTGCAATTTTTTTCTAGGTTTAGCCTAGGTAGTTTTTCCGTGGACCATGTTCTCCTCTAGAGACATTAAAGTACAACAGGAAAAGTACTGGATTTGGGAGTTATAAGACCCAGGTTTCCTACTCAGCTGTGGGATTTGTAGAAAGAAGCTGGCGCAGGGTGGGCGATGCTCTGGAAACCTAAAAACATGAATGAGTCTTCTGAAGAAAACAAGGGGGAACGGTCTAGATAAATCAGAACAGACACAGGGAATTTGTTCAATTTTACCAGAGGAAGCTTTGTTTGTCCTTTGTTTTCAAAGAGTTCTAAGGACATTACAGGTGATGTCTTGATTTGCCTGTGAATTGGATTTAAGTGAGGCAGAACTACACAAAGTTATCCACGTCATTCTCTCTCCCAGAGCTATCAAAGTCCAATGGCAGGACAAACTGGAGATAGGGCCTACTGAATAGAGCACTGGGGCTAGAATAAAGAAGATCTGAGTTCAAATTCAGCCTCAGACATTTGTAACTGTGTGTGACCCTGGGCAAATCACAAAACCTCAGTCTGCCTCAGTTTCCTCATCTATAAGATGGGGATAATAATAGTATCTCCTTCTCAGGGTTGTGGTACAGATCAAATGAGATTATATTCGCATGGTGCTTAACACACAGTAGGCATGTAATAAATGCTTGCTCCCTCCCCTCAGATTAAAGAAAGAAATATATAGAAGAAGGAAGCAAGAGCAGATCACTGACCACAGATACAAAAACTTGGCATGGTTCTATGAGAATGTCAAGAACTCTATATAGCCCAGAATGAGCTAGGCAAAATGAGCTAAGGCTTGCAATCAGAACAAGATAAGGAGAACAAGAAAGGCTAGTCTTAGCTACATTGGACTAAGGAAGATAATAAAAAGGATAAGATCAATGCTGGGGGAAAAGGCAAACATTACCCTGATAAAGGGGAAAGAAGGTGAATTCTACCAACCATGAGAAGGTAAGCTTGATCTTGATTCCCGGTAAAATTTTAAAATGCATTATTATAGGGGATGATTTTTAAGTCCTTTAAAAAAAAAAGGAAGCACTAATCACTAGGAACTAGCATGGGCTCATCAAGAACAAATTATAATAGTGGTAGACTAATTTTTTTTTTGTATGTCTGCTAGACTGGTAGATCAGGGAAATTTCAAAGACAAAATATATCTGAATTTCAGCAAGGAATTTCAGAAAATCCTCTATGATATTCTTTTAGACGTTCATTGCATGTACAATTAAGTGAATTCTGAACTGATTGACCAACCAGACCCAAACAGTATCAATTAATGGCTCAAGGTCAATCTATGGAAGTCACTGGCAGAATACAGTGTTTGCTCTCTCCTTGGCCTTGTTATGTTTAACATTTTTATTGATGACTGGGTGAAGGATTAGATAGCTTGCTTACTGCATTTGCAGATGATGTGAAGCTGGGACAAATAGACAGTTAATATATTAGATGGAAGAACTGGCATCTAAAAAGCTCAGTAAGCCAGAACAATAGGTCAAATCTAATATAATTAAGTAGAAATAAATTGAAAGTCCTATTTGTTGTTATTCAGTCATCTCTGCCTCTTTGTGACCCCATGGACCACAGTGTCCATGGAATTTTCTTGGCAAAGATACTGGAGTGATTTACCATCTTCTTCTCCAGCTCATTTTACTGATGAGGAAACTGAGGTTAAGTGACTTGCCCAGAGTCACACAGCTAGTTAAGTGTCTGAGGCTAGATTTGAACTCAGGTCTTCCTGACTCCAGGTCTAGCTGTCTAACCACTGAGTCACTTAGCTGCCTCCTTGAA